ATTATCTTTTAAAAAGTTAAAAAATTAAGCTTATTTATATAAATATTCCTATATACCAGAAATAAACTCAAATAGTATACATTAAATCAATATTATTTTAGCAATCAGTTAAATCTAAAAGTTCAGGTTCTTAGGAATGATAAATGATAATACTATCGTCTCTAAGGAATGATAATATTATCGTCTTTAAGATATGATAAAACCATCGTCTCTAAGGAACGATAATACCATCGTATCTTAGGAACGATAATACCATCTTACCTTAGGAATGATAATACCATCATTCCTTAGGAACGATAAAACCATCATGCTTTAAAAATGATAAATGTATCATACCTAAAGAATGATAAAATCGTCATTCCTTAGATACGATAATACCATCGTCTCTAAGGAATGATAAACCATCCCTAAGGAACGATAAATGCATCGTACCTTAGGAATAATAATACTATTATCCCTAAGGAATGATAAAACTATTCCTAAGGAATGATAAATACATTATACCTTAGGAACGATAAAACCATCGTTCCTTAGGTACAATAATATTATCATCTCTAAGAAACGATAAAACTATCGTCTCTAATGAATGATAAAACCATCATGCCTTAGGAACGATAAAACAATCGTTCCTTAAGAATGATAAAATCATCATTCCTTAGGTACGATAATACCATCATCCCTAAGGAACGATAATACCATTGTCCCTAAAGAACAGTGCAACCATTTCAATCAGACGTCAATCAGTTATAAATAAGATAGGTCGAATTTTGATATATACTAATCAGCTATAAGTATGCCAATCAGCTATAAATAAGATAGGTCGAATTTTGGCTGATTCTTGGCTAATTTCTGATGTATGCCAATCGGATAGGCTGATTTTTGATAATTTGCTGATTTTAAACCGATTTTAGGCCAATTTAGGCTGATTTTAGGCTAATTTTTGCATGTCTGATTTTTTTGATTTTGACCAGTATAAAGTTAATAATATAATTCATAAAAAATAAATAAACTATAATTTAATAAATATAATAAATGTTCATTATGTAAGAAAAAAAATTAAATTAAAATCAAGTTGATTTTTTAATAATAATTATTATTTTTCATAATAAAATAAAATAAATAACCTTTTGTCTTTTTATTATCATCCTTTTTAGTATCTTTAAATCTAATTTTGTTATAATGATTAAGATTTGTAGTATAATAAGATATTACAAGAAATTAAGAAATTTATAAAGAAAAATAGAAAATATACATGAAATAATACAAGTATAAGTTACTCATTTTTATACATTGATATTATATGAAGTCAATTCTATTATATCACAAAAGATTGATGAATGATCAATATTATTAACATCATTAGCATTTTTAACTTAGTTAATATTTTTATTTTATTTATTTTATTCTTATATTTTATTATTATTATTTATTATATTAGTATTATCATTAAATTATAATTTATCTTTTATATTTATTTTATCGTTATAAAATAGTTTAGCGTTAAATAGTAAATTCTTATAATTGTATTTTTGTATAAATAGGATGAAAACTTGTCCTTGTAAAAGGGCAGAGATAACAGTGTAAACTCAATAGTTCGAGTTTAAGACTTAGAATCCAAGGTTAAGGATTGCTACAAATATAAATCTCTACAATAAAGGAATCTTTTTCTAAACTACACATATTAAAAATCCTTCAACGTGTCAATTGTATTTATCATATTTACAAGTTATTAAAGTTATTCTTACTCATTTAAAGTATAAACCTAAAGTTGATTGTAATAGGACTTATTCTACAGTAAATTAGTAGTTTCTCGCATGTTACTCCCTGTTATTAAGTTATAATTACCTTAAGTTTAACAGGCTGAGCATAGGGTTAACAATATGATTTTATGAAGTTTATTTAATTCTACTAAAATACCATTCTATATTATTAATATCAATAGGATACAAATATAAAAATTATTTAAAAATCTTTCAGTAATGCTGACCAGATATTACAATAATAGATATCTGAATCTGAAGCTCAACTTTTATAAGCTAAACACATATTTCTTTAACATTCTATAGAAAAAGTATGTTCATATACTGGTTGAAATAGTCCAAATCAGCTAAAAATTAGATGACTGATTTTAGGCTGATTTTATATCTTTTATAGCTAATTTACCATATTTTCTGATTAGTACAAATAGGTGTTGATAGATGCCGATAGATCCCAATTAGATATGATCATTCAGCATTAATTCAGAACTTAAATAACCATAAATTGGCCTAAAAATGATCTCAATTCAGCATCATTTAGCATTAATTTGGAACTTAAATAACCATAAATCAGCCTAAAATTGGCCTCAATTCAGCATCATTCGGCATCAATTCAGAACTTAAATAACCATAAATCAGCCTAAAATTGACCTCAATTAGGTATCAATTTGGTCAAATAAGCATATAAAATTGATATATTTTATTATTAAATTTATTAAATATTAAAATTTTATTAATAATAAAAACCTAATATAAAAATATAACATAATAATACCAAATTCCATTGATTAATTTCCTATTTAAAAAATATAAGCAAAAAACAGAAAAATCATGTAAAATAATAAAAATATAATCCATTTTCCTCCTAAAATTCCCTTAAATCATCCTAAATATTCATTATCGTAATATTGTTATTTTCAAAAAAAAGAATAAAAAATCAGAAAAATTGACCAAAATTCAATTTAAGTTTCATCTGTTTTGATAGTTGAAGGCATGTTTCTATTATAAAAAGTAAAAAAAATCAGTTTGTTTTTGTATATTTTAAAAAATTGACTAAAATCCAACTTAAGTTTTGTCCGATTTTGATGGCCCAGAATTATATTTTATAATATAATAAAACATTACATTTGTTTTTTCCGCATTTCTTTTAATCACATTGAAAGGCATAACCTGAGACGCAGTGATTTATTTAAACCATATGTGATGAAGTGCGTTCTTTGAATTAATACTTTTATTTTTTAAACCGTCCAAAAACCTCTTCCCAGCATCCGAATTCACCATATTAAGTTTCTCAAGCATTTTTCCAAATTGATACATATCTGATTGTGATTGTGAGTGTTGAATTGTCCCAATCCTTCAAATGTTCAGAAACTTCTAATCCATCCAAATTAGAATGTTCAAAATCGATAAGAACATATTTATATTCTGTGACACCAGGAACAAAGAGAATATTCGATAACCGAATGTCACGATGAACGTAACCTCCTTTATGTAACCAAATTAACCCAGTAAGCACACTCTGTGACATTTCACGTGCTTCATCTTCGTTTCTCAATCGACAAACATGGCCTCGCGTTTCTAATACAACCTTATAAATTCCTTGTCTACTAATTTTGAGTCTTCTTTTATTTTAACAAGTCCTGGATGTCCTTTTGCATATCTGTACATTTCCGATAAGAAATCGATACGATACTCACGTTTCCACCACATGGAAGATATTTCATTGAGACCCTCTTTTCTACTGAATCATCTAAAATTGTAATCATCGATTTTTCAGTTTTCAACCGTTTCCCAAGAGGGACGATCATTTCGGGAATAGTATTGCTCACAGTTCTCATTATGCGTGCAATATTAACAATTGTACGGAGGATGAAAACACGATCTCGGCGATTATTGATGTCCAATTGATTTGAAAGTGGAACTAAACGGCTTGGCGAATTTGTGTTTGACGATCCATTGATCGAATAAAAACGTATATACGACCCCGCTGCGGCATAACAAATCATAAATTTTATGTTTCCGAAATACATTGGATCGAACTTATTGAATTTTTCTTCAAGTTCTTCCACGGCAACTTGACTTCGGCCTTTTCTTCGCCTTTAAATAAAAGTACATTGATAAAAAATCTGGTCTTTTGTTGCCTATCGTTGTCGTTCCCCGATCCTTGCTGTTACGGTCAATTTTGATTGGAAGCATTTCTCCACCCAGACTCTCGTGAAAAATCTGGAGTGGGATTCTTATCAAACTATCTATGCTCCAGTGTATCATATCTTCTGAAGTATTATTTAAGTTTTGCTTTTCAATAATGTCCGTAAGTAAATGGGAAATATGTTTTGATAGGTTACTTCCTCGTTCACTTTCGTTTGTTTCTATGAATCAACAAGCTGGGGGAACATAACCTCCTCGTAGAAGGATACGGGTAGTTTTCGAATAAGCGGAGTATCAATTAGAGGTTTAATATCATCAGCTTGACTTGGTACGATGTCGAATGATTTAATGAGATCATCACAAATCAAGCCAGTCCTATCAACAAACATCTCAACGTAACTTCGTTTTGATGATATTTAGAAAAGAAGTACAATAAACGTAATTCGTTAATATGTGTAAAAAAAAAAAAAATAAGTATTATGAAAAACATAATAGGTTAGAAGGTGGAAAGAAACGCTGGATCGCGTTCATTCGCGTTGACTAAATTTATTACGCTCACTTACCGGGTTGTTCTATTTTTGGGCAGGTTTGACGATAAGAAGCAGGAAAGAAAAGCGTAAAATTAGCATTCGGTATTGTTAGCAAATATGACAGAGAAAGACGAAAAAATAAGACATTTACCAACAGCTACATTCTCCTTTTCATTATTTTTATTAATCTTCCTCTTCTTGTGTTTATGTAACATGCAGAGAGAAATGTGAGTAAGGTCCTTTATCATAAGGAAGGTATATAGCAGATTCTTCCTCCAGAATCAGCATAGAACCCATTGCATAATGTGGGACGTTTGGCTATTAAAGAGACATAGTAAATCATATGATCCATAACGTGATTTTAATAGCAAACTACCCAATGTCTGGACGCTCTTTCCATGCACGAGGGGATGGGAGGTATCAAACTCACTATGCTCGTTAATATTTTCACATTCCTAAGGATATTAACCTTTAACAGACGTCTTAATTCGAGTACCTTCCTACCTTCATTTGATTCCGGTTCTAGGTTTTTTATAAACTATCAGTTCGTTGCTCAAATCATTGTGAGATTTACGTTCTGAGGCTTTCGGATATTTTTTTTGAAAATAACTATCCCAAGTCTCTACGTCCCATTGATCATAAGAGGTCTTCTAGTACTCTAAAATAGTTATAAAATAATTAGAGTATTCTAGCATTATTAACGAGTGATAAATATACACTTACCCAGTTGCTGTGCGTGAACTTGAAGATATGTTTGATCCTTTAATTTTGGAAACATAAAATTTATGATTACGCCGCAACAGGATCGTATTTTCAACCAATGGATCGCCAAACGTAAATCCTCTAAATTCTTTAGTTCCGCTTTCAAATCGATTTGACATCAACATCCGAGATCGTGTTTCCATCTTCTGTACACTTATCAATATTTCACGCATAATGAGGACTGTGAATAACTCAATTCCCAGAACAGTTGTTCCTATTGGAAATTTGACAAATCGACGAATACATTTTTTGATGACTCGGTAAAGAAAATGGTCCCATTGGAATATCTTCCATGTGAAGAAGACGTATGATCGTGCTTTTTTAATGAGAATGTACAACTGTGCAAAGGTCATCCATGGCTTATCAAATGAAGGAAGGCGGAGGCTCAAAAATTAGGAACCGAAAGACATACAGGGTTGTGTTTGAAACGCGAGGCCAAGCTTTTCGATTGAGGAGCGAACACGAAGTTCGTACAATGGCAGATAATGGTGTTTACCAGATTAACTTGGTTGCATAAAAACGGTTACGTTCATTGTGACATTCAGCTTCCAAACGTTGTTTTTGTTCCTGGTGTCAACGATTATAGATATGTTCTTATCGATTTTGAGCATGGTAGTGAAGGTGGATTAAAAGTATCTGAACGGTTTGAAGGATTGGGACGATGCAACGCTCACGAAGAATAATAAGTATACGGTACTAGATGATTTGTATCAGTTTGGAATTATGCTTAGGAATCTTAATATGTTGAATTCGTAAGTTGGAAAGAAATTTTTAGACGGTTTGATAAAAGCTATACACCTCATATATTTTGTCGTTAATGTATTAATAAATGAATAATTTTTATTAAAAACTCTTTCGATGTGATTGGCTAATTTTTGTTGATCATTTTGTTAATTTTCTAAAATCTTATTGGTTGATAAAATAAAAAATTTTTATCATATTTTGGTTAACTATACTATTTTATTCAAAAATATCATTTTTTGCATGATTTGTCTTAGCTGAATTTCATGGCAACAATAAGCATATTTAGAGTTAGCTGGATACTAGTTCTTATTTTATTAACTTGTATTTTTTTTTTTTTTAAATTAAATGCTAATTTATTGTCTAATTTGAAATAACCAAACAAAAATTTAATATGTATATTATTAATATAATTTAATAAATTTAATAAAAAAATTATATATTTATAAAAAAACTTAATGTAAAATCATTTCAATTTATATTTTTTGAATTTTTTTATAAGAAATCTGTTTTTATTAAAAAACAAAAAGATAATTATGCTTCATTTTAATTATATGCTTGTTAAATCATTTATAGCCTTTTTGATAAATAAATCTATATTACTCTTCAAAGAAAGATCTTTAATACTGATATTAGTATTATCACTAATTTCAGAACTATCTCTCTTATTTACATCCTCATCTATCTTTATTTTACCAGGTAATTCCAAAGTTTTCTGAAAAGCTTTACAATTATCTTTAATTTTACTTATAAGAAAATCACTACAATACTGGTATTGACTCTCTAATTTAAGCAAAAAACATTCAAAATGATAAACTTGTTCAAAGATTAAAATATAATTTACATTTTCAAGATCTATGCAACCTTTCAAATCGTATTATTTGTCTTATCAAAAAGGATGTGTAGTATTCTAAGCCATTAGTAATATCTTGACATCAACTTTAACTTCTAATGTTAAAAGTTCAAATAATTTGGATTTGAAACATTCATTAAATAAAACAACTTTTGATTTGCTGATATTTGTATATACACCTATAAATAAATTTAATAAAAAAAATGCAATGCATTTTTCAAGATATTCTAGCTGTTTGGCTGAATATCTAATATTATAATTCTCAGAAAATATATTAGTAAACGAGTTGCTACCACGCGTCTGATCAATCACTTATATCTGTCAAATAATCTGATCTGCTGTGTTTGATTCTTGGATTTGTCATCAAAGAGAACTATGAAAATTTTTCACGTAGTAATTATTGAAAATGTGAAAAGAATCTGAAAGAATATTTAAAATTGAATGATTAATATCAGACCAAAAAAATATCACTTAAAAAAGCTAATGGTAATTTATTATAATGTTGATGTTAATATTGATAAAAGATAGCTCAAATACGAAATATGACTTCTTTGTATGCCATCTAATTTTCACTACAAAATATAATAGGATAAAAATTCAGAACTAATGGAATGATATTGTCTAATAAGTTAATAGGATATCTAGCTTCTAAATCTTTAGACTATTCAAATTTTCGTAGAATTGATAAACGTTGTTAACCCTACGCTCAACCGTCGAACTTAGGGCAACTATGACTTAATAACAGGGAGTAACGTGCGAGAAACTA